ACCTTTGAGAAAACTATGTAGTTATGGAGAAATACTTATCCATTGGATGTTCTGGGATAAAGAAACAAGAACCTACATGAACTGCCTGAAATGTTACCATTACAAGTTGGCTTTGGAATGTTTCATTACAGATTCCAATTAAGATGGTTAATGAAATGAGTATTGTTGATTGCTCCACCCCTTTAATGTTTTTACAACAACCTATTTTTCAACAACAGTACTATTACTTTTGGGACAGGACAGTTTGCAAACCAACAAATCAAATGCAGCTCATCAGCAGAGTTTGGGAAAGTTACTTTTTTGGACTATAATGCTTCAAATCCCTCAACCAGCATAGGGTTGGGAAATTGAGCCTATAAAGTAACTTTTCCATGCTGTTCACATGAACTGTAGCCTGTCTTATGCTCCAGACATTCTCACCACCACTTTAAAGAGCCAAGAACACAGAAAAGCCATAAATGTTACTGGTAGTGCTACAGCATTGCTCCCGTTGTCAGATGGATTCAGTGAAAAGGTTTTGATCTAATTTTTTACAATGGTGAGTGTTGGTCTTCATTTTGTTGTTGTTCTTACATTATTTTTATACTGTATTAATTTAGTGTTTGCTTAAGGGATAATCCCCCTGCAAGGGAGAAAGATAACAGCAAAAGAGGAAGGAATTTTAAAAACAAAAATTAGTTTGTTTGAATAAAAACTACAAAAACCACGAGTAATGAATGACATATTATAAGAGACATTTCTCCTTCTCTCGCAACATGTGCAGCCTCTAAGAAGCAGCCAAGACCACTTTGTCTGGTTGCTTCCATCTTTGGAATAGCTCAGTAGTTTAGGTATCTGGTTGGGAGTTTGATTCGCTACAGAGGCTGGTCCCTTCCAAGCTCTGCAGTTCTAATATTAAGATTACATTTGCTCAGTTTTTACAGAACACTCATACAATACTAGTGCACTCCAAGCATCCGGATGCACTCCAAGCATTTAGTAGAGCAGACAAAGCACTATACAACTTTTAAAGGACCCTATGTTTTAATGACCCATTTCCTATTTACAGATTCTGCTCATTCTGCTTCTTGATGAGCATGAGAAAATGATTAGTAAACAATAACCTCTTCTGCCATGTCAATTTCAGTTCCTTTGGTCACTTCATATATAGATGAAAAGGGAAAAAAAACAATGAAGAATTGGTTCTTAGAGCTTGCCTCTCCTCCAAGAACATGCACAGAGTTTGAGCTCCAAACACCTGTTTAGCTGCATCATCACAGGAAGGCTGGAGGTGTTGGTAGACTCCACCCCAACATCTCCAGTCTTTGTTGATCTTGGAAGGCTGGGATTAGTGTGACAATGGACTAGCTATACTTCAAAACAGTTGATTTGGAATTACTAGCACTAAAGTTATGAAAATTAGGAAATATAAAGAAGATCCTAAGTGTCCCTTTGAGGGTGTACACACATACATTCATATCACTTCTCACTCTTCTCTGAAACATTTCAGATTCTGGTTTGTTCTGGCAGAATGTTAATGGGTAAGCTTTTCTTAGGTGCTTCTGCTGGATGAAGGAGCCAAGCAGTGGTAATGGAGTTGTTTACTGTAGATATGCCAAAATTATCAGCACTTCTGGTTTCTTATTATGTCTGAACCTAGCTTTAAGGGGAAGCGACAAGAAACAGGAAAAGGGATTGTCCATTACTGTTTGCATTAGCATTACTAGTAGGTGGCATAATCATATTTCAAACACAGAAGATGGAATACTGCAAACAATTTAGTGACTATTGGACATGTTGTATATGGACTCTCTCTCAAAATATTTTGTTAAGCAAATTCCAGAAATCTAGATGGTGGCTTGCCAATGCTGGATAAGATAACCCCAGATTTGGCATGGCATCTCCTGCTAATTCTTTCAAGAACTGACAGAAATATCTTGAAAATGTGTGTTCTATTTGACATAGGGGCCTTGGAAACTGGTGTTTCCTTCAACATGCAAACATCCTTTCCTCCTTCTTGCTGTATTATTCATAATGTGGAAAATCACAAGTATGTAATTCAAGTATGTTGTTCGGGCAGAATGTTAATAAAATATGTATTAGAGCACACTTTCCACTGCTCCATAGGAAATGTGTTAGTGAGGATCAGGCTATAAAGTGCACAAAGCAAAGAGCTTTGTTATTCAGTAATTTCAATTCATATCATTACCTGCTCTCTAAACAAGGGTTATTTACAGAAAGACCCTTCAGTTTTCCAGGAACTGAGATGCAAGCTAAACACTGAGCACTATGCAGTTTCACGTATAATTGTATACAAAGAACAACATCACTGTCTGTACATGAGCACTATATTCACTTGGGTGAATATGAATATTACCAGGTATTTTGGCAAAGTTTTCAAAGCAAATATTTCATATAAGAAAGATGGATGATACTGTTTTACTCCGAAGGGAGGTAATGTTTTTAGAGTAAAAGGATGCTCCTGAATAATCTGAATCAAAAACATAGACAAGTTGTGGTCACAGTTTTTAGAAGTTGCATATGTCCTCTCAGATGGAGTGTAGGACTCAGATGAGTTTAAGTGATTTTTTTGGAATTACAGCTCCAAGAACCTGTCATGCACTGGACCCCCTAAAGGTCCGCTGGGTATTCGGCCAGAGAGCTCGACAGGCACTTATCTACCACCTTTGTGCTGAGGCAAGTCCCAGGACCTCAGCAGTGCATAGCATAAGCCCTTTGAACAAGTCTGACCTTAAAAGAACACTTTACATTACTCAGTACTTTGCAAGTACAGGCACATGGGCTTTGTGATTCCTTAGAACTCACTAAAGCTCAGTTAAGTAGGACTCTTAAAAGATAGCTAGTTTGTGACCCTCTCCCCCTCCTGGATTTAGCCAGGCCCTGCTGTTCAAGAGACCAGTCCTTTTGTAGAATTTTTATACAGTGGGGCATCACAAGACAAATGTCTCACAGATATTTTTCGTCTTGCGAGGCGGGTTTCCCATAGGAATGCACTGAAATTAATTAATGCATTCCTATGGGGGAAAAAGTCAGAAAAAAATTCACTGACCAGGTACAGTAGACTGAGCCCCGCTCCTCACAGTGCCTTGGTAGCCCCGGAACAGCCGGACTCTATGTGAGCAGAGCACCGAACACCTGAGAGTCGGCACCCAGCAGAGAGGCAGCAGCCATTTTGAGAGGTAGCAGCCTTGTGGTCGCCTCTCAAAATGGTTGCCACCTCTCCAAAGTGGCTGCCGCCTCTCAGCTGTTTGGTGCTCTACTCACCTTTTTTTGGTTTCTGACTTTTCCCCCCCACAGGAACACATTAATTAAATTTCAATGCATTCCTATGGGAAACCGTGTTTCACAAGACAAAATTTTCGCTAGATAGCATTAACCATGGAACAGATTAATTTTGTCTTGCGAGGCATCACTGTAATTAATTTTTATTACAAAAAAAGAGTTTCATTAGCATCAGTTTATATTGCACAAGCGTTAGCATCAAGAACATATTCAAAGATCATTGCAGTTAAATAAAATAACTATTGCCCATTAAAATAATAAACACTAAAAAGCTAAACTAAGGTGAGCTATAGGGGGCTAGCCCCACCTCCTTCTTTCTCCTTACTTACATCCTTTTTCAATCAAGTTCCTTTCTCTCCCATCATTGTGGAAATTTAATCCATAACAGAACAACACACAAACCATCAGAATTATATTCAGTTACTTTCACATAACCCATCATCCATTTTTCTACATTCTCTAGCTCCTCCCTTCTTCATGGCAAATCTGGCTGTTAACCAATTAACCTTACGAGGTTGTACCACCTTCCTCCTCCCCTTATTCCCATGAGAGTCCCGGTGTTGTTTATCTCTTCTCCAACTAGCTCGGAATGTTGAATCTTCCACAGGCCTCTGAATTCGGCCTTCATCGCTATCTTGAACTAGGCTGTAACGGTCTTCAGGAAAACATTCTCATGGCACTTAGAAAAACACATTCCATTGTCTCTCAAATAATCACACAGAACCTGTCTGACTCCATTTTACATTTCTCTGACTACATATCCCATCATCATGACACTGGGGGATCCCTGGAACGGTAGTCTGATATAGAGTTGGGGAAGGCATGCTTTAAGATGCTGTGAAAGGCTTAATTTATTTCTTACCATTAAAGACTATAACATCAACTAGCCATTCTAGAGGTCGTGTGGTTGCCCAGATGTTGTTGGACTGTTATTTTCGTGAGCCCTAGCTAGCATAACTAGTGAGGAAGAATAACAGTTGTGATCTAAAACTCCCCTCACTGGAAGAAAGACAGCCTAGAAATGAAACAAAGTAAAATGACATTTTTTCCAATCTGAAGGATCAGCCATAGACTACAAGGGGAAACTAGATTGACAAATCGAGGTGCAACACTTCGCTGGCCCATGATAAGCACACCGGGATATGGTGGTACCATCTGAAGAGCCTCGGGACAGCTGAGCTTAGACTCCCTGGGCAGATTTACACATGTGTATATTAAATTGTGTAACTCACTGTGACACTCATCAACAGATTCTGGTCAGTCAGTTTTTCAGAATAGTCCACCATGATGCTATATTGAGAGGCTGCTGGGAACCTTTTTGGAATGGAATGAGTTCACGTTGGTTCCGATGGTGTTAGTGCTAGAGCCAATGTGAAGGGGTTTGTAGCCATTCTATCTGAAGCTATAGAGCCCACTTCAGCAGCACTAAGAGAGGCAGGATAGTGCAAAAAACTGGCTGCAGCCAGAAACAATTTCCCTCTCACTCTGGTGCCTGGGTCTGCTTTCATCTTCCTATCCCAAATAGGGCTTCTATCTTTGTTTACAAGACCAGTCCAAGGTACTTTACTAGATGAGTATGAAAATGTAATGGTGTTTCCCCAACAAACTTAATATTGAATTTCCAGTCTTATTCTTCAATTTGTAAATCTTTCAAAATAATGCAAGAACTAAAGCACAGATTATCCTCCAAGGTAGTTTCATTTTATTTTCCTCAGGAAAAATATAAACTTCTTCCAAAGCATGACAAATCAGTACAGATTTCTACATGGGTCACCATTCCCCACATTTCACTCAGCAAGATACTTCTGAAAAATGGATAACATTTTAGAAACACGTGTCTTATTTTGCAAAATTTATTCTAAATATAATTTATTCAGACAAAACTATTAAGCATCTGAGCACATTAAAACATGAGACATATATTTTTTCCTTTGTGAGTGTTTTATCTTCCTTGGTCTTAAATAACCCAAGAAACCCCAACACTGTTCAAGCACAAACCATGGCATGTTTCCCCTGCATTTCCCATATTTTGTGTCCTCCTCTATTTCAAATCTTTTTGAAGTCCGTGGGCTGTTTTTAATCCATTAACAGTTTATTGCATTATTTTTTTCTAATCCTCCCATGCCCACCTCTATTACCATGTTATCTTAAAGTAGGAAAATTCTTCTTAGTTTTACTCCTTGGTTTGAACTATATTTCCAGACTTTTTCAGCATTTCAAAAAAAAATAGCAAGCACACATGCATTGAAGAGTGCAGGGAATTACTATTTCATTAGAACTCTAAATAGTGCTGTCATCTTACATGCATTTGCCCAGAAGTCCCAATGAAGCTTACTTTTGTGTAGACATACATTAAACTGAATTGTGAGAAAACAGCACCTTCACCAGTGCCAAAAGGCACAAAGTGAACATTCTTGTGAAGGGCACCACAAGTGAAAATGCCTTTTCTCCACATTAGGAAATTCAAATGTAGATTTCTTGTATCACAGAGTTTCTTTCATAGAGAGAGAGAGAGAAAGAGAGAGGGAGGGAGGGAGAGAGAGGGAGGGAGGGATACTGAGACTGGAAAATGTGCTGGAATGGTGGGAAAACCTCATCCCAGTTTAAAGTCTAGATAGGAAATGGGATGGACCCTGGGGAAAAAAAAATAAACTGACCCTTGCTTCTCCAACTGACTTGTTCCCTTGGAAATCCAAAAAGTCTTGCTTTCCTAAATCCTCCATTTAAAAAAAAAATTAAAAAACTGAAAACTTGCATCCTTTTGTGGTAATTAAAAACACTGGTGGTGTGTGTGTGGGGGGTAAGGGTTTTGGGGAGCCCTCAAACCATGGCAAGTCCCCCTCCCATATCTCTGTTGTGCACCAGGGAAATTTTTAGTTATTTTTCCCCAAAATATTTTAGGGTATGTGTAGAAAATCAGAGGAGCTCAAAAATTATCTGGGCCCCTGGCACCTGCATGCTGCCTACTTCTGACCTATGCATTTAGGAAAGTATAACCTGGGCAATTTGTAAATGCTAAGGGGGTTCTGATATGTGGGATTTTGATAATTCTTCCTTAGGTTGGAACCAGAGACAGTTCCGGCCAGGAACACTTGTACATCGAACAGCAAAGCCCTAGCAGCATGGCAGACAGTTTTAGCAAGGGAATAGGGCACAGCTGAGTGATCCCATCTGGTCTGCATTGCCTTAACCTGAAGAAATCTGTATCATCTCAATCTACAAATTGCACATCACATGGTTGTCAAATACCAGACTAAATTAGTCTTTGGAGGGCTGCTATTCAGATAGCATATATCTAAATAAATTGCTTAAGGCTTCAAATTCTGTGGGGTTCCCTTATTTTAAAGGGTTGGTGCGAGCTGGGAATAGAACAGCTGCATAGGGGATCCTTGTATGATCTTTGAAAAATTTCCTATAGGAAAGATAAATGGGTATGTTTTCCCTGAGCCTGAACTGATAAAACAGTAGACTGAGTGATATACATCTTTCCCTTGCTCTACTCATGAGCTTTCCAGGACCATCTAATTGGTTGTTACGGCACACACAGTGCAGGGCAAGATGGACACTTTTTTTAAAAAAGGAAAACCATAAATATATCACTAATGTATCAAACATGAACTCTGAAAAGTGCAAATAAAAATAGTATTAAAAAATTATTACCTTGACTTAAAAGTTCAGTGGATCCTTTCAAGATCATGAGTATTAAACTAAGTTAAGCCAAGCATTAGTTTAATAGCTTAGCGTACGAATCAGCTGGAGTTAAGTATCTTTAAAGCCCACTAAGGCTCAGAATGTTGTGCATCTGCACATCAGTACTTTTAAGGCACAGTGATGTAAAAATGGGAATTAATCTCTTGTGCTATTGGATGTGCACTTCCTAACCTGACCCAAAGCCTGGTTAGCTACTGACAATTCACTGCAGTCAGTTATGCAACTTTACCTACAAATGTGTTAATTCCCAACTGGATTATGGTCACTTTTATCCTGTTGATTTAATAGATTCCACCTAAGTATATCATGTTACATTTGGATTTAATCACACTAAGAATCAAACAATTCAAATTAATGGGACTTAAGTCTATCATGAGTAACTTATGCTTCACTGAGTTCAATCAGCATGATCTAAGTAGTGGTAAGAAAGGATCAAATTCATTATCTAAGTATTTTGCAATTTTTAAAAGATAAATTTTAGGGCTTATTTAAACACTAGCAGGAAAGGCAGTTGCAATTATTCTCTGTACTATCGCATTACTTTAGTAAATATGCACACTAATAACACTGTTACAATATGCAAGTGGTTGCTGCTGAAAATGGCAGCCCAACTAACATAATATTAGGAGTTAGGGAAGAGTATTTCTTGTTTCCAGTACAAAAATACAGCAGGTCCAATACTAAAGAAGTGTGATATCCCTTCAATAGAAGCAAAACCTGAAGTGGACACTTGTAGACTATAAGTAAAAAAAAAAAAGAAGTAACAAACATATTTATTGTTAATGAAAGTAATAATAGGTAATGACCCTGAAATATTGCAGGTGGTTTGAATTTTAAACATTTCCATTGACTTTTTCTACATGTAGCAATCTCATAAAATGTGCAGCACTGAGGTGACATTGAGCACACTGCAAATTCTGTAAAAGTACAAACACTATTTCTAAAATTTATGCTGAACCAAAGTTTTGGACTGAGCAGAATTATATGTACAGCAATATTCTAAGCCCAGCAGTAACTTTAGTTAAGCTTTACAAAAGCTGCCCATCGGTCCATACCAGCTTACTCCTTTTACAGGTAAAATCCGTAAGTGCATTTCATTTGTTTTTGTATATAAAATTCCCAAATTTCTGCATAATTCCTCGAAACTTATTTTCATTTGGAAGAAAGGGATGGTATGTACCTGGGTTGTAATTAGCCACTTGATTGCTCCTTGTATAATTATTTCTAGAGGTTTTACTATTTGTTTCTGGAAACTGAGCACTGGTTTTTGGTGCATTTGTTACTGGCTGAGTTCCTATAGGCTGACCAGAGCTTTCCATGTTGCAGAACTGCTCAAAACGGCTGTAAACTCTTCGGTCAGTCAGGCGAGCCCTTATTAGCTCATCGTTCGGCTTTGTGCTGGAAGGGCGATGCAAGGCTGCATTGACTCTCTGGGGAGAAATTGCAGCAGGAACCGGTGGTGGTACCCGTTCATGGCATGCACTGGCACGTGGTTCCTTGACATCCTGGTACTGAATTTGTTCTGTGTTAAATCGGGGAGCAGATGGATCACCTGGTGGCACCTCTAGCAACATGCTCTCCAAGGGTTTCACATTAGGACTCCTTTTAATGTTTTCATCTGATGGAGGCTTTAGAAATTTAGGAGACTTCGGAGACTTGGGAGGCTTGGGAGACTTGGGGGATTTAGGAGATTTGGGGGGTTTAGGTGACTTGGGGGTCACAGTAACATCCTCTTTACTTTTATGCAGGCTTCCCTGTGAAGTGGAGGAAGATGTTCTTTTTCTTCTCGGGGAACAATCAATCTTCATTTCAGACATTTTGGGCTTTTGATTTTCTTCTCCTTCGGATACCAGAGTGTCGGAACTGCTACACATCCTATAGAAAGCTGGAGCTTTGTTTTTCGACAAACTATCTTTCTTGTCTGGTGCGAGATTCAGCAGCGACCTTAGTTTCTGTGATCCCTTTTTCAGGAAATTTGGGGAATTTTTGTTCTCCTTTTTGGGTGAGGCATCTTTGCCAGGTTCCTCTTTGGTAGATTCTAATGCTGTCACAGAGATGGACTTTGTGGAAGTGGGGCTTTTTGGCTCAGCTTTCAGATTTTGACCCTCATGTGCTACATGACTGCCTATACTGTGGAAGCTTTTAGCATTTTTAAAATTGTCCTCTGGAAGCTGCTTGAGAACTGTTGGTTGCCTTAACCTGTTCCTATTCAGTGTGCTATAAACATAGCTGGATGCCTCTTCATTGTTCTCATGATTTAAAGCAGATTTTGAATTTTCAAACATTGGAAAACTCCTTCTTTTCAACATATTTTCATTTTTTTGATTCTTTAGATAGTCTATGGGTCTGTTTGTCCTCAGAGTTGAACAGGGGTAGGCAGGCTTCTCCTTAGGAACAGCCAGAGTTACACTAGGCTTCTCCTTAGGAACAGCCAGAGTTACGCTAGGATTTGTATCTTCTGAGTGGTGGGCATTTTGGCTTTTTATCACTTCAGGTTCCAGTGGGACATTAGCGCTTGGTTCTGTATCCTCAGCTTCATCTTCTAGTTTGGTAATATGATTGGGTGTTGCTTGAGGTGTCACACTGCCTTCTGAACCAATAATAGTTGAGTTTGAAGAACTTGCACAGCTGTTTACTTCTTTTTGCTCGGGTAGAGTTGGCTTAAAAACAAACGAGGAGCGTAGTCGAGAATGGGAATAAAGAGCATGGGCTTTGATATTTTCTGTCGCATCATAGTTCTCACACTTGTCTCCTATCCCTGAACCATTTGAATCTTCTGGAAAATCTGATTGATCATTTAAATATGATTCAATGCGCCAGTTACGTAGAAAAGATTTTGTAGTGCGCTCAAGGGTCGGCATCCTCTGCTGTAAAAAGCGGATATGGCTATCTGTTCCATTGAAAGATCTCCGTACAATTGAGTTCCTATCTGCAAAATTGAGTTTTGGGTGTGGAAGGCGATCAGCCAAACTCTGCTGAGGTGTGTTAAGATTTGTATAGCTTCCATGCAATGAAGAAACAATGCTGTGGCTATCAGATGGCACTTTCCAAGTGTTTGGTGGTTTATTTGGCTGATTAATTGTTCTATTGAGCAACAAATATGGAGTCCTCTCGGGTTTCTCACCTGCATAACTGTGCCTTTTCCAATGCTCATTTATTTCATTGGCCTGGTACTGCTGGATTCTATTCTGCATATGAAAACCTGGAGCAAATGGTTTTTTTTGAAACAGTGGATTTCTGGTACCCAGCATATCGCCATCATTTATTCCATATCTGCCAGTGCCTGGAGTTTTCAAAATCATAGGATCTAAGTTTTGAAACTTGTCTTGCCTCCCCAAAAGGTTACGCTGGCTAGAAAGTGACGCTAAAGAAGAGTGTGAATGCTGGTATGCATCATTATCCCAGAGCATTCTACGGCTGTTAATTCTAACCAGTTCTGGAGCAAATGAACTGGGAACAGAAGAACGAGCATACAATGTCCTAAACTCTTCATCAAAAGATTCAACAAGTTGTCCTGTGATAATCTGAACCATGCTGAGGTTGGCCTTCTCAAATGACCACATAAAGCTGAAAGATGAAGAAATGACAATGAGTAATCCAAGTCAGGAATATGCAAATACTATTTAATTTGTGGTTTATTTATGAAATTATTGATAACTTATATATGAGAACACTAGAATTTAATTGATATGGCTGAGATCACAAAGGCTCATGTGGATGTTGGATACCAAACCTATTTTTTGGCAAAATGTGTATATTTACAATGGTCACAAAGGTAGGCTGAGGGGCTGCAGATGGTTCCAAGGCAATTTATGCAGCCCCCAAGTCTTCCCCTCATATCACTAAATTGTATTAGCAAATTGCCAGAAGCTATTAAAGTAAGCATAAAATGCTTTTTTAAAGTAGTTTTCATCATGGTCCAAATTCGGCAGCATGACTTATTATGATTTTCAGTAATACCAGTGGAAAAGGTGGCTGTGGGAAGTTTGGTGGTGGTGGTGGTGAAATGGGTCTTCATACTACCATATTTGCCCATCCCTCATCTGCAGTGTAGGCAACAGCACTAGAGTGTTTTACATGTAGTATGTGGGCAAATATAAGCTTTACTCATTCATAAGCACTACCACAGATGCAAAAGATCCAAGGAAAAGAACGTGAACAGTTTCCAATAATCGAAACTGAATTTTGTTTTGGGGAAAAAAAGCAGAACACATCAGCAGAAAGCTATTCCTGATAAAGGATGAAATGCATGACAGAAGAAAAATTAATACAGAAATCTCCTACAATAAATGGTTGGGGAAATTAGTATAGAATGGTATTTTATATTTGAGATAGTACACTTACTCAAGTAGATAACTCAAAGATCTATGATTTTTAATTTAAAATATCTATCATGAGGTTATGAATTAGGAAATTACAGATGTTGGAAAGGATCCAGTGGTGGACTTCCAGTGGCCAATCTCCTTCCAGTAGATTGCAACAGAGCTCCCTCCCTCCCAAAGTGTTCTTCAGTGCACCACAAAAACTGCTGGGAATGCTGGCAAAACCTCTGTAGCCAGCTTTAAGGCAGTACAGAAGGCAGGGTGGGGGAGGGGAGAAAGTTCCACTAGTGAAAATTTGGATTTAACACATCAGCAAAAGTGCACAATTTTCTGTATACATGTAGATTTAAAAATAGTATTTGTCACATTTTATTCAGACTAGAGATGGGCATGAACCAAATTACAAACTGAAAAAAAAAAAGACAAATGGGGCTTGTTTGGTTTGTGGATCCCATTTTGCCAAAATGAAACGAAGCCCCCAAATTTTTTTCCGCTCAGCGCTTCATTTTGCTTTGGCAAAACGGATGCTCCCCATCCGTTCCCACCACCCCATCTGGTCCTGCTGCCTCCTCCTCTTCCTCTTCCTCCCCCTCCATCTTCAGAGACCTCTTTAGCTGATCAGTGAGCACATGCGCAGAGGCAGCTGGCTGGGCTCCCAGAAGGGAAGCCTGGTTGCTGTCTCTAAAGATGGCAGTGGTGGAGGATGAAGAGGCGGCAGGATCAGGTAGGGAGGCAAAGGAGGGCAGTGGAGGTGAGCAGGCGGGCGGCAGAAGGGGTGGAGGCGTCAGGTTCCCCTCCCTTAGGCATGAATTGGAAAAAAACAATCCATGAACCAATTTGTCATTTTTCCAGTTCGTGTACATCTCCATTCCCACAGTTATGTTTAAAATGCTGGTAATTTTGACAGGGTATGTAAAACTACTGAAGTTTCCTTCTATTCATATCACTCCATGCTTAGTTTATAAAATGTTATAGAAATATATACTGCCCCCAATGGGTCTTCTGAAAAAATGACTGTCTTAGCAGAAAAACTATAATGTAATCAGTGATTCACTCAAACAATACAACTTTGATGGGTAAATTATTCTAAGGGAAACCTTGTGCAGGAAATCTTACGATAACTAACAGCAGACTGAGAGTAAATGATCATATTGTTATCTCCACCTCCTGCTGCTTTTACCAGCTATTTCAGCCCCCTCCTGTACCTACACAGAGGGCACTGGTATCAAGTGCTCTGTGTAGGGGACAGGAGGGACCTGAAATAGCAGATAAGGGCTCATAGTTTTCTTTTGGTTTTCTGGGCTTTAGCCGCAGCAGCTGATCAAAAATAATCTGCTACATTTTGAGTAGGTTCCACCTTCACCCTTTATGAACAACCTCCAACTGCGTTGCAGTTGTTTTGCTGAGGGTCCCATCACCAAACAATGTTTCCTGAAGGCCCACTGAAACATCTTTTTGATCTGAGAGCTGTCTGTTTCCAGATTATGTTAATAATTGTTGTCTGAATTTTCTCCTACATCCTTCTTCCCTTCTTCATCATAGCTTATCAGACTGCAAACCTGAGGCTAGGGACTGTTTCCCTTCCAACACTCTTTATGCTGATGGTTGTTGTAGGTTTTTCAGTCTGTTTAGGGATCCCGGCCATGAACGCCTTCAAGAATACAAATCTTTATGTTATTCTGGGAGTCATTCTGGCTGAAGTACTGTTGAGAAATGTTTCAAGCCAGTGGTTCCATGGGATCACAAATTTTGCTCTATTTCAGCTTGCAGAAGCTGCAAGCAACATAGCCAATTGTCAGTAATTCTAGGAGCCAGAAGCCAGCAGCAGAGGACTAAGCCTGAGGGAAACTATTCCAAGTGAATTTCATGGCTGCATGAACATTTGTATCCCCAATTCAATTCAGCTATTAAACAGATTCTCAGCTCTGTCTAGTGGTTCCCGACCTTGGGTCCCCCCAAGGTTCTTGGACTACAACTCCCTGGCTAGCAGAGCTAATGGTGAAGGCTTCTGGGAGCTTGAGTCCAAGAACATTTGGAAACCCAAGAACTGCTGTAACTGATACATTTATATTTAAAAGATCAGAATGCCCTTCAATTTATTAGATATGTACTCTATTCTGAATGTTTTTCTAAAAAAGTTTATTTGGGTTGGCGTTTCTAAGGATGGGCAAGATTAGAAGGAACCATTTTAAAAACATTCTTCCATGGGATCAAATGGTGTTATGCTCTCCCATCTCCTTTGTTCATAGTATCATGTCATGGTGCAGTGGTTAAACTGCTGTAGCTGGCTCAAGGTTCACTCAACCTTCTATCCTTCCAAGGAGTACCCAGGTCACGGGGGCAGGGGCAATGCGTAGCCTTCATAATTAATTTGTAAATCACCCAGAGAGTAAGTGCTATGGGCCCACGGGGGGGACGGGACAATGCGTAGCCTGCATAATTAATTTGTAACTGCCCAGAGAATACTTTAAGCACTATGGGCCGGTATTTAAGCAGCACACTTTGCTTTTACACTGGAGCCCTTAAGGGAATAGCAAACAGTCTGAGATTTTAGAATGCTGACACATAATTCCCTGACCATGAAGAGTTTCATCCAGGCATATTCTAAGTTAAGCTCTTAACTAATGGCATAGTAACACACACATGCATGGATCAGTTCAAAAGTCCTCAATCTTCAATATGCTAATAAAAATGCATGTGTCACATAGCTATGAAAGAGCTCCAATGTTTCCACGCCGCTTGCTATGTGGTTGAGAGCTTGACATTGGTATGCTATTCTGTGGAAATTATTTTTATCAAATGCTGTTTTCTATTTTTTTACAGCCTTAAATTTTGCCACCACGACATGTCTATATTTCAGCATTAAGAATTTAAAAAAATGGTTCTGCTTCCTACTTCATTTAGTCAACTAAAACACAGAAGGAATTTATTGCAGGTGTGGCTACAGAGATTCCTAGAATATCCCTTCAAAATTTTACAATATATAAACAGCAAATAAAGGAAAGTACGGCAGTAGCTTTAACAGCATTCTAAAATTGTACTAAAGATATATAAAGTAGAACACACACACTGGTCCTTACCTATAGGTACCATACATGACTTTCTTAGAGTCAATGAGAAGAAACTTTTGTTCCATTTTGCCATGGAATTTTGCCCCTGACTTTGAGAAGTAATCTTGTCCTTTTACTGTGCGCACTCTCATGTTCTGAAAAAGATAAGAAACAACATGACCACAAAGCAAACAAGCAAGCAGACAGACCCAAAATACAGAATATTTTAATACAATACAACTAACAACATACATGCTAAACCTTTCTCTATTTAGAAGAATGCACCAAGGATATTTAATCCCAAATGAATGTGTATAAAATTGCAACTTCAGGCATACTATGTCTTGCATGATAAACATTAAAAAAAAAAAAACAAGCAAGCACGAGGATATTTAATCCCAAATGAATGTGTATAAAATTGCAACTTCAGGCATACTATGTCTTGCATGATAAACATTTTAAAAAAAAACAAGCAAGCACAAATGTGCAAAAAGAGTTACTCACTTGTAACTTCAGTTCTTCAATGTATTCACAAAAGGGGTGTTCAGCACCTGATCCTTTGGAATGTTCCAGAGCCTAGCCTCATGGCTCTGGAACATATAACGTGAGCACCTCAGTCCCTGGTGTGCCTGCACCATAGAAAGACAGACTGGTGGGCCATAGGAGGGTGAGATGTGTGAATAATATAGAGGGCCACTCAAAGAACTGAAGTTACAGGTGAATAACCTGTCCTCCTTCTTTCTGGCCTTTATGTATTCACACAAGGGGTTGATTAGCAAGCTTTGTGTCAGTGGGCAGAGTCATGCCAGTATATAAGATAGACCTGCCGAAAGAGACATCTTTTTGTGCTGTTAGATCCAATTTGTAACGCAGAGCAAAGGTGAGAGGCTGTGATTAGGTGGCTGCCTTGTAGATCATCTGGATGTCAACACCATGTGCAAAGGCTGCAGAGGATGTGATGGACTGTGTTGAATGGCCCTGTATGTGTGAAGGAAGGTCCACCTTGCCTGTTGCATAAACAAGTGTAACAACATCAGAAATCCAGTGAAAAAAATCATTGGGAGAAGACTGGATTACCTTTGGCCAGGCCCCGGTAGCAGACAAACAGCCTCATTGTTGACCTGAAGTCCTTTGTACATGAAAGGTAAAATGCTAGCGCCCTTCTGACATTTAAGGTGTAATTTCTTTTCCAGATTCAATGTTGGAGAAGGGCACAAGATGGGAAGGACCAATGGCTGAAACATATGAAAGGAGGATATAACTTTGGGCAGGAAAGAAACATTGATATACAAGGTAATCTTGTCATTTTGAAATTGGATATATGGAGGGTTGCAGTGGAGGGCTGTAAATTCATTTGCCTGCCAGGTGAACATGATAGCCAGTAGGAAGGTTGTCTTGAATGTCAGGAGTCTCAAGTCGGTGGTTGCCAGGGGTTCAAACGGGGTGAGGTGAGCTGAATGAGGACCAAAGAAAGAGATCAAGCAGTTTGCAGATGTTTAACATCTGGAAAAGTGTTTCTCAACCCTATGAGGAATTTCTTCAAGGTTGGGTCCATGAATAAATGTGAAGAGGGGTGGCCTTGAGGCTGCTAGGCCTCTACTGAGGCCAAATAAAGAGTGCGAGTCCTCATTGTGTAAGAAGCAGAAGAAATTTCAGAATAGCACACAAATATGTGGGGGTGGCTGCAGCCTCAATAGGTGAGGCTACGGTTAGGAACATGTTCCACTTCTAAGTGTACAGTCTGCTGGTGGACAATTTCCTGGCCTGAGCTAAAATGTCTGCTATTGTGGAACAATCCTCCAGGCTGTCAGTCTGAGACATTAGACGTCCAAGTGCTGAACTGAATGATTGTGACAAGTGAGAAGGTTGTGGCAGAGAGGGAGACGGCACCTGCTGCTGGACATCAGGAGCCGAGTTGTGCTGCCTTGGCCACCACAGGTTCTCTGGGATAACATCGGATCTGTCCTGCTGTATTTTGACTATTATGCACTGACTCAGTGGGAATGGTGGGGATATGTACAGTAGTCCAAAGAATGGTGAATTCATTTCCCATGGAATGCATTCCTGCACCAGCTCAAGAACAATAAAGATAGCAGAAGAGGCAAACATGTCTATGTGACACTGCCCCCAACAGTTTGTGGAAGTAGTGAAGACGCATTGAGATAGTTCCCATTCGTGCCTGAGTGTGCTTGCTTGGTTGTAGACTACCAAAATGTGGCTGAGAACATAGGCTTTGGTACTGTTGTGTCTGGAAACATAGATGGCCATGGGGAAGATATTGTGGCAATGCACCAGTGAGGCAGCGGAGACTGAGGGATCTTATACCGCCCTGCTTGTTGCAATGTGGTCTTGTTGACAAGGAGGTTTTTCAAAGCCCTGAGCACTTTGAAGACTGCCAGCAGCTTGAAGAAACTGATGCAGTATGTCCATTCATATGGGGACCACAGAGTGTTGATGGCCTTGTCAGCCCTAGCCAGTGGTGCTAGCATTGGTGGCTATCATCAGGCTGGGCAGAGGTTGTCAGATGGGCATTCTCATGGTCAAGTGATGGTAACCGCTCCACCAGAGAGGTTGCTTCCTGAATTGGAGAAGTTTCTTGAAATGTGAATCTGTGTGCTTGTTGTAGTTCAGGAGATAGTAGAGTTGAAGTGATTTCATGCAAAGTGTGGTGTGTGGGACCACAAATGTGGTCAGGGCCATCAGACATAACAGTCTCTGGATGGAGAGCACTGTGGACTCTTGCAAAGCGGCGATCCATATGGAATGAGAGGTAAGAGTAGATGCTTTGTCCTGAGGAAGATATGCACAAACAGTTTGTGAATTGAGGGCAGAGCTTATATAGTGGATTACTTGAGAAGGGACTAAGTGTGAATTTTCCATATTCCATATTGAGGGTAATGTCTAGGTTGCAAAGGAGGACATAATTGAGTCCTAACCACCAGAAGGCAATTGTCAAGGTAAAGGAAGATGGTAATCCCTTGTGTCCTCAGATAAGCCACCACTGGTGCTACACATTTGGTAAACACCCTCGGAGTAGAGAGGCTAAATGGAAGGACCTGGAACTGATAGATATGACAGTCCATGATGAAGAATAGGAAGCATTGATGGTGGTCTTGAATGGAAATATGAAAATAAACGCCTTTTAGGTCTATGGCCACAAACCAATCCCCAGTGTTCAAAGGGGGTAGGATGGTCTGCAGAGCACCATACATAACTGTTTGGTGGTGATGTATTTTTTGGCATGTCTGAGATCTAGAACTGGTTGTAGACTGCTATCTCTCTTGGGTACAGTGAAATAACAGGTGTCAAAGCTATCTGGCAAGGCCTCCTGAGGGACTTGGAGGATGGCGTGTTTTGCTAAGAGGGAGTCTTCTGCCTCCAGGAGTGGGGACAGAAGAATAGCTCATATGCACGCCACTGGAGGCAGGTGATGGAATGTGATGACATAACCATGAGCAACGATGTTCAGTATCCAAGAGTAGATGGTGATGTTGCACCAATCATATAGGTATGGAGCCAATGTGGAAGATGGTCAAGTTGGGGGGATGAGGGGTGGAATGCTGTTGATCTTGGAGGGGGAAAAGTCAAAGATGCTGTTCAGACTTCTTGTCCTGTTTCTTTAGTGGTTGTTTGTATTTATTGTATCTGGAGTAGGGTTGCATTGAAGGCTGCCATTGAAACTGGTTTGTCCACTGATGGGCAGTAGTGGTGAGTATGGTAGGTTCATTTCCAGTAGGACTTGTATGGCTGTGAGGATTGTTGTAAATTAAAGCCCAGGCATTTAGTTGTATTCTTTTCCTTGTGGAGGTCCTGCATAAAATCATCTTTGCTGGTATGGAAAAGACCGTGTCTATCAAATGGGAGGTCCTCAGTGTGGGAACTGGGGTCTTCAGATATGTCCACTGATCTAAGGCACATATGGTGACGAAGGCTTACAGCCTCTGCCATGCTCTTAGCCGTGCAATTCGCAACATGTTGGGCAGAATGAGTCTGGTGACCAGCCAGTGCATAAGCCGCCTGTTGGAAAGAAAGGGATAAGGATTGTTTATCTTCAGGTAAGTGGGGACAAAAACATTTCCAGATGAACTGGTGATATGCCCCCATCATGGCTTGGTAATTATAAATTCTCATATGCATATTTTTCCACTATGCTGGAGTTTGGTGTAGGGTGTTTGAAGAAGAAATCTGCACCATCCTCTTGAACCCTATAGAAGTTTTAAACCCTCTTAGAGGTAGGTGGAATGGTAGATGGTTTTCTCCCCCAAGACTGGTTACTTAGGTCTGTTAGTGTCTGAAGCATAGCATGTTTTATTAGAAGATTGGCATTCCTTTTGATCTTAGCAAACACAGAGTCCTTTGTGGAAGGTTTAATAACCTGAAGTTGTAAGGATTTAGCCATCCTCTCTGTGAGGTCATTATAAAATACAAAGTCTCTGGTAGAGAGAGATTGAGCGGGCGAGCTCAACAAGCCACCTAGAGTGGTTGTTTGACTAGACAGGTGGGGTATAAATACAACAAACAAACAAACAAACAAACAAGGACCCTGTGCATCCTCCCCATCACCAGATGATTTGGGAGAGCGCCTTTTTCATGGACAAACAAACAAACAAACAAACCAGTTCAAACAAGGACCCTATGCATCCTCCCCAGCACCAGAGGATTTGGGAGAGTGCCTTTTTCATGATGACAATCTTGGAGTCAGTAGCCTAGGAGATGATGACTGCATGCTGCATATCGATGAACTAGGCAGTTCTTCCTCTGAGAAAGAGCCCAAAGAGTATGGAGTGATGGAGTGGCACTTTAGCCACTTTGAGTTGAGTGAAGAGGCTTGCCACAATTGATTTCAGGGAGCTTCCTCCACTTCTTAGTTGGCAAGTCAGTGTTAAGTTTCGGAGGTTTAGATTTTGAGGTGCCTTGGATATCGAAGATGGATCACTTGCCTCAGGAGGGGGAGGAAGCTGTTTCTCCATCCCTGGCATAGACATTTTCTGAGGGGCTTTAAATAATGAGGCAGAAGAGTAGAGGGATTGCTCACAAAGATGAGATTGAAGCCTGGATTGCCTGTTTTTTAAGGTTAATTTGGTAAAGCCTGTGCAAATTGAGCAGGACTGAACAAGATGCCCTTCACCCAAACAAAAGAAACACTAGCATGGCC